TATATATACACATACACATTCACACAAAGGATAGGAAGAGGGAAAGGGTGAGGAGGAAGGAAGGAAGGAAAGAAGGGGAAGGTATACATATACACACACACAAAGAGAAGGAAAAAGGCAAGGGAAAGGGTGAGAAGGAAGGAAGGGAAAGATATATATATACACACACACTAGCCGTCCCCTGCCACGCGTTGCTGTGGTTCTGTGTATATGTGTTTTGTGTGTGTATATATGCATATGTGTGTGTGTGTATGTGTGTATATATGCATATATGTGTGGTTTTGTGCATGCGTTCTAATATAATTTTTGGGTTTTTTTGCTTTTATGTTGTGTTTTTCAGTCTTTTGATGAGTGATAGTCACTTGTTGGCCTGAGAGGTGTAATTGTGTCCAAATTTGGCACCAGTTCATCCAGTGGTTTTTGAGTTATGTTAATCCCACAAACGAACATTACATACATACATATATATATATATACTAGCTGTCCCCTGCCACGGGTTGCTGTGGCCCAGTCTGTTGATCTGGAAAATAAAGTAATAAGAAAGTGTTGGTTTCTAATATATGTAATATCTTTATGCTTGTGGGTAAACAGTATTTCTTGCTGTTTCTTTGTCAGTGTTGATGTGGAGAGTGTCTGGTTTGCCCACCCTGGATGATGCAGCATATCATTGTCCTTCTGTAAGGGTCCCTTTCAAATCTATGATACTATATCTGTGTGTGTGTGAATCATATCTATCTGTCTGTCTATCTATCTATCTATCTATCTATCTATCTATCTATATGTATCTATGGCTGGATAGCTCCTTGTCAGGAGGACTTTGGTTATGTTTTTTTGCCCTGATGAAGGGAGTTGGACTGGATAGCCTTAAGTATTTTCTGTTGGTCATGGGGGTTCTGGGTGGGAAGTTAGCCCCGATTCTGTCATTTGTGGGGTTCAGAATGCTCTTTGATTGTAGGTTAACTATAAATCCCAGTAAATACAACTTCCAAATGTCAAGATTCTATTTCCCCCAAACTCCACCGGTGTTCACATTTGGACATATTGAGTATTCTTGTAGAGTTTGGTCCAGATCTATCATTTTTTTGAGTCCACAGTGATCTCTGGATGTAGGTGAACTACAACTCCAAAACCAAAGGACACTGCCCACCAAACCCTTCCAGTATTTTCTGTTGGTCATGGGAGAACTGTGTGTGTAAAGTTTAGTTCAATTCCATAGTTGGTGGGATTCAGAATGTTCTTTGATTGTAGGTGAACTATAAATCCCAGCAACTACAACTCCCAAATGACAAAATCATTTTTTTTGAGTGAAGGATATACATTAGGTTGTTAGGTGTCTTGTGTCCAAATTTGGTATCAATTCGTCCAGTGGTTTTTGAGTTCTGTTAATCCCACAAACGAACATTACATTTTTATTTATATAGATATATATACTAGCCATCCCCTGCCACACGTTGCTGTGGCCCAGTCTGTGTCTGTGTGTTTTGTATGTGTATATATGCATATATGTGTGGGTATATATTTGTGTATATGTGTATATATCTTTGTTTGTGTATATATGTGGTTTTGCGCATGCATTGTAATGTATTTTTTGTTTTTAGGGTTTTTTAGTCCCTCCCACTGTGTTTTCCAGTGTTTTTCTGAGTGATGGTCACTCATTAGCCCGATAGGTGTATTGTGTTCAAATTTGATGTCAATTCCCCCAGTGGTTTTTGAGT